ATGTTATTTATGTAGACACATTCTACTCTGGACTGTCTTTATCTCCCATATACACAAAATAAAGTATAAAATACATTCAGTGCTTGGACAGTTATGTAAAAAGCACAATCATTGGATCCATTTATCTGGCTATTGCTGAAAAAGGCAGACTTTTAACTTGCATTTTTTACCCATTTCTCATTTCTTCACATTGTCTGTGTAAATGCCTCGGCAAATGCGTTTTACCTCAAGGGAAATTGAGTTGCTCAAATTGGAAGAAGAAAAATCTTCGTAAGGAACAAGTTCTATCTTGTGTTTACCGATTCCTGAGATCAGATATGAGGAACCATGTTTTGATAACACTACTTGAGAGCCTTGTACTTGACAATGTCATATGTTGACACACATATGAACGTTTGGAAATAGATTGCAAAAGTCATAAAGGTAAAAATCATCCTCATAAAAGATTTTGACTTCTATATATCAAAAAGCCAGCTGAAAGGAAAACAAGAGCTTATGGAAATGTAATTTTAGCATGCATAATATAGAGTTATTGTTACATAGCCTTGGGCAACATTATTTTTTAAAACCAACATGTTGAAACTTACTGGTTCTACAAAAGAAACAATACACACACACACACACACACACACACACACACACACACACACAATTTTTTTTTTTACCTATAAGGCAATTCCAATATCTACTTTTCTTGAGCATATTATTTATAGTCTATTTGCATTTTATTTGTTAACTTATTTCCCAGCTTTATTGAGATATACTTTGCATGTTGTATAAGTTTAAGGTGTACAGCATAATGACTTTATATAAAGCAAAACAATCACCACCATAAGTTTAGTTACTATCCATCACCACACATAGCTATACCTTTTTTTCTTGCGATAAGAATTTTAAGGATTTACTTTCTTAGCACCTGTCAAGTATTCAACTGCTTGTGTTTTTAAACTGGTAGGATGCTTTTCATTCATGTATTTATTCTGCAAATAGGTTCCCTGAGACAGGGGGAAAGGATGGGTAAAGGAGGACTATGAAGGGACTGTTGCTCCATTCCCTGAGGAAAGTGGTGGTGACTAGGACTAGAGTTACAGCAGTGGGAAGGAACAAAGTGGACAGGCATGTGTGTGAGTTCTTTCAGGGTGAATATCAGAGACTGATGATGGATGGAATATGTGGGAAGAAGGACAGGAATCAAAAGTGATGGTGCTTGAGCATCTGGTCATGCCAATCACTGAGAGCGAGGAAGAGAGGAGGAGGAACAGGTGGAGGTGGGGTGGGGTGGGGTGATGATGAGCTCAGTTGGGAACATATTAAGTTTGTGAAGCTTATGGACCATCCAAGTGCAGATGAAAGTAAGTTGGCTATCATAAAAATGTTTCCACTTCTAGGCATCTCTTCTAAGATAGTAACATTAAAGAGTTTGCACAGAGATAGTCTTTGCAATATTATTTATAACATCAAAAAATTGGAAGCAACTTACATGTCCAACTCTGAAATAATTGCCAAATAACTCATGTACACTTAAAAATTATGTTGCCTGACATCTATAATTACAAAGAGTATGCAATATGGAAAATGTTTATGATGCATTAAGTGAAAAAAGATACAAAATTATATTTTATAGACAATTGTAATTAGGTTAAAATATATGCATTTGAAAAATATGCTGCATAGCAAATTGGAAAATGAAATAGTTATCTTGGTAATATTAATTAATTTTGTTTTTATATCCCAAGTTTTATGTAATGTTTTATGTTGCTTTTTAATTTGAGAAAAAAATAAGCTTTTCAAAGCACCAAAAACATATGTTTATGCCCACTTATATTATCTTGAAGTGTATTAATTTAAAAAATATTAATCATGAATGCAAATCAGTATCATGTTAAAGAGGACCGTTATAAGAAATAATCATTTTAGTTCTGTATATACAAATATATTTCACAATATCAAGGAAAAATATGGTCTTTGCTAGGTAGTTAATAAGGAAGCTTAAAAGTAATTTGTTTCAAATGAACTGTGTTTAAATCTTTACTATGAAAGTCTTACATATGTCCTCCCTTTTTCCCCCATTGACCCCTTCTGGCCAGCCCCTGCCCCAGGCCTTCACCATACTATTATCTGTGTCCATGGGTTATGCATATATGTATACCTGTTCTTTGGTTGATCTCTTCCCACCCACCCACTCACCCCTGCCTTCCCTCTGAGATTCAACGATCTGCTCCATGCTTGTATGAACTACAATTAGATTCACTGATCATCTACATATCTTACCAATGGTTTCTCACATTGACATTTGTTCTCAATTTTTAATTTTATCTTTAGTTTCTGTATAGTATATACTGTTTGCCTCCCAAAGGCATCGTGGCTTTTGTTTTATGTTCTTTCAAAAGAATTTTAAGTCCAACTATACAATTCACATAAGAACAATCAAATGAGCTTGTATAATTATACTTTGGGGCACAGTTGTCCACTCAGGGTGTGACTTCATATTTACATTGACATAGCTTTGAATTTTTGTGCTGTACTTCAATTTAATTTTGTAAAATAAAAGCTTTATTGAGATGCAATTCACATATCACACAATTCACCTGTTTAAAATACATAACTGGGGTAATAAGGACACATATGTAATGTGTCCTTATTGAAAAGAAAAAAATTTTCGTTTATTGAAAAGAAATTTTTTTCCTTTTCAATAAAGAAAAAATAAAAAAATAAAAAATAACTCAATGGATTTTAGTTTATTTCCAAAGTTGTGCAGTCATTATCAGAGTCAATTTTAGAAAATTTTCATCATCCCAACAACCGCCCTTCCACATCCATTTAGCACTCACTCACCACCACACCCTCCAGCCCCAGGCAACCACTACTTACTTGCTGACTCTCTAATTTTTCCTGTTCTGGGAATTTCATGGATGGAATTTGTTACTTTTTTTTTTTTTTTTAACTTACCATACTGTTTTTAAGGTTATCTACGATGTAGCATATATCAGCACTTCATTTTTATGGCTAATATTCTATTGTCTAAATATTCTATCTTTTATCCATTCAGTTGATGAGCATTTGTGTTGTTTTCAGTTTTCGACTCTTAGGAACAATGCTCTATAAACACTCATGTACAAATTTGTGTAGACACATATTTTCATTTTACTTAGTGGAATTACTGGTTGTGTAATGACTCTGTATTTAAACTTTTGAGTCATTGCTAGGCTACTTTCCAAACCAGTTTTACATTAACATCAGCAGACTAGCAGAGTTCAATTTCTTCATATCTTCACCAGAACTTCGTATTGTATTATATGTCTTTTTTTTTTTTTTTTTTTTTTATTAGAATGGGTGTGAAGTAGTGTCTCGTGGTTTTGGTTTCTCTTTTGCTAATGGCTAAAAGATGTTGAGCATCTTTTCATGCTCTTATTGTACATTTGTATATTTTATTTGGGGAAATTTCTATTCAGATTCTTTGCCAATATAAAATCAAATTATATTGGATTTGAGTTGTAAGTTCTTTATGTATTGGGGGGTGCAAGTTCCCTTACTAGATCTATCATTTGCAAAATTTTCCTCCCATTTCATGGGTTTCCTTTTCATTTTCTTGAAGTGTATCCTTTGAAGCCAAGGTTTTTAATTTTGATAAGTCCAGTTTATTTTTTTCAATTATTGCTGGAACTGTTGGTGTCATATCTAAGAAACCATTGCCTAATACAAGGTCATGATAATTTATGCCTGTTTTCTTTTCAGAATGTAATAGTTTTAGCTCCTGCATTTATATCTTTAACCTATCTTGAGTTATTTTTTATATGTGTGAGGTAGGGGTCCGACTTCATTTTTTGACATGTGAAAATCTGATAGTCCCAGGATCATATGTTGTAAAGACCATTCCTTCCCCCATTGAATTGTCATGGTACCTGTGACAAATTTTAGTTTACTAAATGTAAGAGTTTATTTCTGGACTTTAATTCTGTTCCATTGGTCTACATGTCTATCCTTATGCTAGTACCACATGGTCTTGATAATTGTTGATTTGAAATTGGTAATTGTGAGTCTTGCAACTTTTTCTTTCAAGATTTTTCTTTTGTGGGTGGCTATTTTGGGTCCCTTGAATTTCTGTGTGGATTTTAGGATCAGTTTGTCAATTTCTGCAAGGAAGTCAACTGAATTTTACTGGTCTTACTTCATAAGTACCTATAATATTGTCACTAGGAAAAGAATTAATATTTAATTTAGAATAATTTTCCATTTTTCTCTTTTCTTTTGAAAGACCTATATAATATTTCTATCTTCTCCAGCTGCCCTAAGATTATTTAAATGCTAATATCTCTTTTATTGTGAGTCACCTATTGGTCAGTTAAGTAGAATTGTTTTCCCTAATTGCCAAGATACAGACCAGGAAATTAAATTTTATTTGTCTAATTTGTGTTTAACAAACAGTAATTTTATCTTATTTATATTAACTTCTCAGATAAAACTTGGAGAGATCATGTAATGAGAGATCTAACAGGCAGGGCTCTATGAAGTAGACAGGATGACTGGACTCTTGGGTAAACAGCTAATACTTCCTAAAGCTCCATTATCTCCAGGGTGTAATTTTGCAATCTTATTAAAATGCTTCAAGGGAAGATATATTACCAATAATCATTTATTATTTTAGCCATTCCATTATTTTCTAAACAATTTATTTAAGAATAGTTTTTAAATATAAGTTATCTACCAAACATAATTATTTTGAATTAAAATAAGCAGGATGAAAAAACTTTTAAAGAAATTAAAATAGAATTGAAAGGATGTCTGGTGCACCAAAGCACTCAGTAAATATGGGTTGAATAAAAGGAAAGGATGAAAGGAAACCCCTACATGAAGTCCCTACCTTGGGATGACTCTAGTTAATCCCTCAATTCAAAGGGGTAAATCCTGCTTTCAGGGTAGATTGGTGTTTTTTTTTTTTTTTTCCCCCCAGTGTTTTCAATTTCCTTAAAGGATAACCTGAGAGTTTCACATTTTTGCAGTGTGTATGTCATGGTTGGTGCAGATGTCCCATTTTCTTCTTGTTTACGGGAAGTGGAAAACCCACAGAACCAGTTGAGATGCAGTCAAGAAATGGAGCCTGTAATCACCTGTGATAAAAAATTTCGTTCTCAATTTTACATTGACTGGTGCAAAATTTCGCTGGTGAGTTTTAATTATATTTTGGGTTTTTTTTTTTTTGTTTTTTTTTGCAAATGTAATTAGAAGTGATGTGTCAGGAAGATAACATTTGACTAAAGCCTGAATTGCTTTTAGGAACAAATCCTGGGTTTACTCTGTTAACCAAAATTAGTAGTTGGCAAGCTCATTGGCAGTGGTATCCATTTAGGAAAGAGTATCTCCACTTTTGTTCTCAGTCTACCCTTGATTAGTTGCTGGGCTGGATTAGCTCGGCAGGTGGTCTCAGTGCGCACCCTGGACATCCAGGTGGCTGCTACATCAGAATAAATTATGGAGTTAGTGTGGCATGCGTAGAAGGCCTCAACCGTGCTGCCACAACCCCAGTCTGGAAAGAGAGATCAGAGTCCAGAATGGACCCGAAAATAAAGCAACAATGTGCTATGATCCAGTGTCCTAGAAACTCACATTATAGGGGGAGTTCAAGGGATAAGGAAAAACATTCCAAGTGAGGAAAGTTAGAATTTTACCCACACCCCCTTAAAAATCAAATCCTTGTTTCTAAACAGCTTCTTAAGTGAGCAGGCTCCAAGAGTTGGGAAAATGTAAGGTTTCATATATATGAAAGATACATATATAGAATGTCTTATATAAAATGTATGTGTTTTGATCCTGCTTCTTGGAAAAGGAAACGTTGTTTGGCTTCTTCAGTGACCTTTAAATTTACCTCCTGTCATCTCTGGGTGCTCGGTGGCGACTGAATAAGATCTGAGTTTGAAGTGGACATCAAAGTTATTGGGACATAGACACAACGATCTCCCTGTGTCTTAGAGGGACCAACTTTCAACAGGCAACTTTCCCACCCAGGAGGGGAGAGCCTCTTCCGCTGTAGCACTTGCCCCTGTGGCCCGTGGCCAGGGCCTCTTCTTTTTCTGTGGCTTGTGTCTTAGGACAGTAACGTTCTTTCCCCTCCTGCTTAAATCAAGGAAAGTTATTAAGACGGAGGGGTTCGTGTGTTATAGATTACAAAGCCCAGTGTTTCAGTCATGGTGCTCATCATATGGAAGATTGAGTGGCTGCATTTGTAATTTAAGTACATGCCTCTAACCAGAATCAGTAAACAAAAAGTGGGCTCTAACGGGGCCATTTTCCTTGTGCTTATGCTGCAAAAAGTTTATGTTTAGGAACATTATCTAATTTCTAAAGGTTTAACAGTGATATGCTTTGAAGCTTTTGATTTTTGCGGTAAGACTGTACAAAGGTTGTGTTACATCTTACCATAGAAGACTTCGGGAGGTTAAGTGAAAGAATCAATAAATTAGCAGAATAAATGAAATATAAGAGAAATGGAAAATTAGCCTAAATATTACCCCCACCCCCCCAAAAAAAAGTAAGCCTCTAATGGCCGGTCTGGTTCCATGGTTGAGTGTTGACCCATGAACCAAGAGGTTCCATTCCCCGTAAGGGCACATGCCCAGGTTTTGGGGTTGACATCCAGTAAGGGGCGTGCAAGAGACAGTCCATCCCTGTCTCTCTTTCATAGATGTTTCCATCTCTCTATCCCTTTCCCTTCCTCTCTTTCTAAAATCAATTAAAAAATATATATTTTTAAAGTAAGCCCAAGGTCATGTTTGATAACAAGCCTGCTAGTGTCTAGGATTAAAAAAAGGAAATTCATCAGTTATTTCATTTTCATTCTGAAAGGAGGCAAAGCATGAATTCCTTGGCAGGAAATAAAGTTTTTACAAGCACTATATTGTTAACAAAATTCTTCAATGGGGTTTTTTGGAAGAGGATACCGAGAAATGCCACAAATAATTCCTCCCAGCCTTTTTGTGGCAGGGAGAGGAGCAGATGCAGTAACACATTTCACGTGGCTTATTTTGTCATGGTTTAAAGAAGCCCTTGACATAATTAAATGCGACTCAGTGAAAGTGGTCCCATTAATGTGGAAGTAAATGAACAGAGCACCATGTGCATTCTTTGATTCTGGTATAAAATTTAGTAAGACAATTGCGTTGGGTGGGTCATGTGTATTTTAGACTACCTTTGCAAAAAGCTATTCTGTCAACTGGATGCCAGAAAGATCAAGGTTGTAATCATTGAGAAATTGCCTTTCATTTTGTTCTTTTCTCTTTTGCTAACCATGGAAACCATACCCACATACCTGGTTATCAGCAAGCTTATGGTTTGTTAACATCTGCACTAGAGGTTTGTCATTAGGAAATAAGATTACATAGTAGTGTGAAGGACACAAGCACATACATGCATATGTATGTATGTATAGATAATGAGCAGGACATGGAAAGCAGGCCAACATAAGGCCTTCTATGTATTACTTTTATTCACTACTTCTTCCCAGCTCTCCTAAAAAATTGCAAGTTCAAGGGGATAATGCAATTAGAAAAGACTGTAGATATCTGTCAAAGAATGTTTCGTATGTCTAGATCTTAAAATCTCAAAATGTTTGCAGCTATTAACTTGATTTGTAATTGTCTTCTTTTATATCAGGTTGATAAAACAAAGCAAGTGTCCACCTTTCAGGAAGTGATTCGTGGAGAGGGGATTTTACCTGATGGTGGAGAGTACAAACCCCCTTCCGATTCTTTGAAAAGCAGAGACTATTACACGGATTTCCTAATTACATTGGCTGTGCCCTCGGCAGTAGCACTGGTCCTTTTTCTAATACTTGCTTATATCATGTGCTGCCGACGGGAAGGCGTGTGAGTACTTTAAAGACTAATAAAAATTATAGAGCCTGCTAGGGTAACTACATATAAGGTTCCATTAAAAGCCAACTTTCATTTAATTCCTCAAACACTTTATAAATGAATTGAAGTTATGTTTCAAGTCAAACTATAGTCCTTCATCCCTTTAAAATGAATTAAAATAGTTTGGAGTCTAATCAAATTAGGGGATATAATTACTTTATCCACAAATTATTAAGGCTAGATGTAAATTCATGCTGGCAAAAACAGTCCCAACAATAATGGAGGGTGCCTAGTTTGGTTATAGAAACCACCTTTGTGTAAGCAGAGACTTAGGACTCTATTGCCATGGTAATTGCACTTTAACTAAATTGTCTCAGTTTGATCAGGAATGATGGTCAACATTCTTCTTGAAATTGTTCTGTTATTAAACCGGGTATCAATCTAAATATTTAACTCTTACACACACACACACACACACACACACACACACACACACACACGTTATATAAACGTAAGAGTAAATTAATGAAAATAAGGCTATCATTTGAGTAATAAGTATTCAGTTCACGAGCAGTTAGTACTTTCAGAACATCTATGCCAATTAAAATAATCTCCCGAGATTATTCAGAAGTCAGAGCAACAAAGCCAAGGATAAAAAAAATTAATAAAGCAGCAAGTAACAAACTTACATTTTCACATGTAGCCTGATTTCATCATGTCATAGAATTGATTTCCAAGAGCTTGATTCCAATCTCCTTTTTTTTCTTCTTCATGTTTCTGTATGTTTCTCATCGGTATTCCATCTTTGTGTGTGTACTCATCCAAGTAACGTCATGACCCTGGTGGCAAATGCTGCCTGTGGCATTTAATAGTGACAGTGTCAGCATTTCCACATCATGCAAGATCTCATGAGCATATAGTCTTAATGTTCCAAATATCAATGCTATTATTTAATTCATAAATTTTGTTTTGTTTCTAGGGAAAAGAGAAACATGCAAACACCAGAGTAAGTGTCTTCTTTCCTGTTATTTTCTGTATCATTTTTTTTTCACTTCTCAGTTGCTCATCATGCTTCTTTACATGTGTGTCATGCTTTTGTCTCCCCATTCATCATCTTTCATGGTTTATTTCATAAATGTGAAAGCTGCTTTCTAAATAGAGATATTTAGGAGGGGTAGAAACTAAACATTTTAAAAAAGCGTTTTGAAAACTTAAGATTATACCGATAAAAACTAAACTTAAAATATTTCAGATTCAGAGTATTAATTTGCCATTGATATTATGTGATTTCCCAATCTGCATTTCTATAAAGCAGAGAACAGAGGAAAAGACCTTTCATACACGTTTTCCTGACTCTACAATAATAGCCTACCATAAAATGAAATTCCTGTGAGTATTTATAAATGCCCCATCAGAAGCAACAACATAAAAGCTCTGGTAGTTTAATCTTAACCAAAGATAGTTTAATCTTAAATAGACTGCTAGCTTGTTACTTAGGGCTGTAATATTAACACAGTGCTTTATAGCTTAGTTTAATGAAAGACACATTTAATTAAAAAGTAATATATAATTTTAAATTTTGCTATTTTAGAAATATACGAAATGTATCTTTTTCAGAGGTAATTTGTAGAAAGCCCAAAGTGCAATAATGTCCTCCTCTTTTAAAAGTTAAAAAAAAAAAATTCAATTTTCCCCCCAAATTGATGACCCATTGAGATACTAGCTGATATTAAATATATGTTGCTTTATTTCTTTTTGACCTAGCATCCAACTGGTCCATCATAGTGCTATTCAGAAATCTACCAAAGAACTTCGTGACATGTCCAAGAATAGAGAGATAGCCTGGCCCCTGTCAACGCTTCCTGTGTTCCACCCTGTGACAGGGGAAATCATACCTCCTCTCCACGCAGACAGCTATGAGAGCACTAACATGCCACTGATGCAAACACAGCAGTAAGTATCCACTTGGCACAGTGATTATGCATATGTGTGAAGGTGTCTAGCTAATCTCTATAAAGACCAGAGCTTTTCATTATTGGAGCATTTTTTGTTTGTTTTTTTACAATGAAGATAAAATACCAAAGGATATAGATAGTGTAGATCCCAACCCTACTGTGCTGACCAAAATTAATAGAATTACTTTCAAGGAATGCTTTCTTTTTTCTTCAAGAGGAACAATCCAAACAAGTTGACATTTACCTTAGTATTTTAAGAAATTGACACAGCTAATAAACTAACATATGTTTGTTCAGAGATGAGTTAATTGTGAAAAGAGAGGCATATCCAAAACATGACAGATTATTTTTCAGTGCTATTATTAGAATTATTTGGTTCCATTAACCTATTACTTTAAAGTTATTATCACAGACCGATTTAATCTAAATTGTTCTTTGTGATCTGCTTGTCTGTCAGAACAAGTAGTTCCAATTTTGGCTGAAAAACACAGTGGGTTAGTGCAAACCTTCTCTGTTGTGTTAGAACATAGTCAGAAAGTCTGGACAGAAGGGTATGGGATAGAAGGAGTGAGGAAATTATCCCATTGCTCTTTAGAACACCGTCTTACATGCCTAGATAATTTTTTATGTAGGTGAATTGTAGGTAAAACTGTCATTTATTTTTATAATAAGAAGATGGCTCTTTTTTTCTTTTTTAAAACTATATGTTAAAAAGGATTAAATTCCATGTCCTCAAGTCACAATTTTGATTTTGAGGTCCCCCCCCCTCTTGTTCTTTTTTTTTGGTAGATAGAATGGATATACAGGAAAATTTTCTTCCACACAATATACATAAACCATAGGATATACAAAAGTAACTTCTTACAGGTTAAAGATTTATCTGTGCTTGATGCAGACATTTTCCCATTGGGATGGTTATTTTGCAACCATGTAAAATGCATTGAATAATTTGAAGATTAGATGGTAATTACTATGAGTGGTATGGACAGTCAGACTCAATACATTTGTCCAAAAATACTTTATAAATCTAAAAGTATTGTATTTTTCTGAATTCTATGATCATTTACTTAGTGTTGAATAGGCCAAGGTGTGTATCTGCATGTATGCATGAAAACTGACTTACGTCCTTTTAACAGTGGGGAAAATCATGTGATTTAAAAGTTTGAGTTTTGGAAAGGATAGTATTTTATTAGGAATGCAAATACTAGAGTCTTACAAAGTTTGGTTCTACTGAATGGAGGGGATGGATTTCTATGTTCTCTGAAGGTTAGTGAGTTATCACAGTACCCACTTTTCTAGGATTAGATACTAATGAGAAAATTTTAGTATTATTGCAATAGTGTATAATTTTAACCATCTCCTTCATTTTTTTAGGTGAACATTATAAAAAGCCTTATCACTTATTTTTCAAAATGAAAAGAATTCTTTAAGGCTATAATTTCTTATATTCTTTACCCAACCCAAGACTTGGGATATATATATATATTCTAAAAACTGAAATGATCAAATACACCTGAGGGAGAGATTTGTGTTTAGATTTTTAAATCAGAGGAGTTCTCAGAGCCTTTAATGTCTTGATATGCTTTAAGATTCCATGGGGAAAGGTCAGAAGATGGAACTGACTTCTTTAAGGAAGACAGTTTGGGATATCCTTCTATTGCCAATATAACAGTACTATCAGATTTTAGAATAGAGAACTATTGGTGATAAGTAGGGAAATTTAAATATGTTTGTAAACCAGTAAAACTCTATTGCTGGTGAAGTTTAAGGGAGGAGAAAGGCTGTACTATTTTTTAGATATTCTTTCTAACCAAAGAATAAGAGTAGTTCCTTAAAAATGATTTTGATTTCTTTTGATTAAGGCTTTGCAATGTTTCTACTTATATACAAGCAAAATAAAAATTTCTATCTAGTTTACAACAAATGGATCTTCCTGGTCTCTCTCTAAGCCCATGAAGATTGTCATTATGTTGATCAGATCTCTTTATCTGTAAATGCAATAGGTTATTTTATTGAACTTGCAGCAATTTGAACCTATATGTATTTTTAAGTCCAGAAAATATTCATATTATTCAGAATTCTGTTAATGGCAGACCTCCATTAACTAGTACTTCTATATAAGTAGGGTACGTAGGTAATTGATGATATTCACAATGATTACTCTGAGACACTGCGAGGTCATCAAGTGCATCTGACTCATCAGAGGGAAATTAAATTACATTCCGTGTAGTTTCAGTGTTGAATGTATATTATCTCTCTTTTACTCTTGGAGATGGATAAAATGTGCATGGTCTCTATGGTAACTCCCTATAAGCTAGAATATGTGATTAGCCTCATTTTCCAACCAAGCCAGATAATAAGAAATTTATTTTTATCAGGTCCATCACAGCTGTCCTTTATGCAAATTCATCTTTTACCCATTACCTTAAAAGTATAGCCCTGTCTCTAAAGTTCTGTTTTGGTACCAAGCACACACATATGTACTAGTAAATATTTGTTCATTTGAATCTAACTGAATTCTAAGCACTAAAGTGAGATATTTGATGAGGAATTGCAGTACTTGATAATTGAGTACTAAAAGAGCATGCATTTCACTTTCACATATTCATATTAACTTGTATCTATCACTCAGAAATAAGTTGGCTAGATACCAGATTTTGTGTTTATTCTTCAGACTCACTACCAGAAATATTTAAGCATAAGAGAGTGGCTTCTAGGCAAGACTCAAGAATGTTGAACATGTTAAGCGCTCAGCCTGTTTTGTCTTCCAGATGGAAAGTATGTCTGACTGGGTGCTTAATGTATTAAACGCTGCATAGAAACTTATTTGGATCTTTTAAATAAGTTAATCCATGAGGTATAGAGAACTCTATAACAGTGTAATGAGGAGCTGACACAGTTGCTTATCAATTATACAGTTTGTTTCACTAAAGGCCCAGTGCATGAATTTGTGCACAGATGGAGTCTGCTGGCTTTCCCCAATTGGGGTGGGGGCACCAATGGGCTCAGGGCTGGTAGGGGTGGGAAGGATGAGGGGCCCTGCCCCCTGGTTGAACTCCCAGTTGAACTCCCGGTCAAGGGGACAATTTACCTATTAGCCTTTTATTACATACGATTATATAGGATTGCTTTAGGGTGTGTGGGTTATTTTCTTCTTCTTCTTCTTCTTCTTCTTCTTCTTCTTCTTCTTCTTCTTCTTCTTCTTCTTCTTCTTCTTCTTCTTCTTCTTCTTCTTCAAATGCTTCACAAATTAGACAGTGACAAATGTTTCATTATTTGCAGTTGACATGGATAAGAAACAGAATTAAATTGGGTAAAAACTGAGATTAGATTATTTACTTGTCGTGGTCAAGTCAGGGATATATATGTGGTCCTTGACCTGAGAAAGTCAGAAGATTCTCTGATCCAAGTTACAGGCAAGGTGACTGACTAGACAGTGGAAAGCAACTGGAGATGGAACGCATGCTGAGAAAGAAGGGATCTTATTTATGCAGAGGTCCTCTCCTTTTTAGATGACAGAAGCAATGCAAAAACAGCTGGTTAAAATATCACAGAATAGAGAAAATGTAAGGCAAATTTAATATGATCTTTGCAAATGTTATTATTTAATAACTTATTATTTTGCAATGATTTTCAAGGTACTAGAAAAGTCCAGCCTGGTTGTCCCAAACCAAGTTGAAGGTCGCACTCATATGTGGAGCTCTTATTAGTGCAGGACCCTCCTTGTAGGGATTTGGAATGCTGCCTGGTTAATTTAATTCATTAGGGATTTGGAATCTGGTGGACATGTGTTATGACGGAGCAAGAAAAACAGTTGAAAATCCTTGATTTGAATACGTCAAGGACCCAGGTTTTGGGATTCAGAAAGCTGATATTTCTGTTGGGGGTGAAGGTGGAGAAGGGGTCTTACATCATATCCTAATTCTTCCTGAGGGGCACGTGCAAAAGAAAGGTGTGAAAGGGGCAGTCTGGCACATTTATTTAGAGTGTTGGGGCTGTTTGTGGGTTTGTGCTAATCAGCCTCTAGACTTTCACACCTCCTTAAGCTGCCTGAGTAGAATGGTGTGGAGAGGTGAGAGGAAGAGAGCTGATTAGAAAACAATGCCTGAATGGGGCAGAGAAATGCTAAGCCTTGAAAAGCTCCAAACCACTGGGACATTGTACTCATTTTGCAGTTTTATGGCAGGCATTGATTGGAGGATGCCAGAAAATCAATTTTCTGAAAAAGAACTTTTTCTTAAAGTTGTAATGTTTTATTATGTGGTCTTTCAGGGGGTAAATCTGCCTCATTATTCTTTTCTTAAACCAACATCAATGTCCATCAATTTTTCCTGAGTGGGAGTCATCTTCACACAACATTGAATGCCATGCATAGTAGGGGGAATTATCCAGACATTTTCTAGGAAGATTTTTAATTGGCTAAACAAAAATTTTCCTTATTCATTATACAAAACATACCTCATCCAGAGTAATTGGGTCCCACTTATAACAAGAGGCAGGTTATGCTTAATCTTCTGCAAATTAACATGTATAAAAGTAGAAATAGGTCTAATTAAATATATTTTGAAACAAATTATTTTAGCTTTTATCTGAATATTTTTTCCATTTGTCTTTCCTTGTGGAAAAATAAAAACTAACTTGATGATAAAATTCCATAAATAAAGAGTTAGGTTTCAAAAAAAGTTAATATCATTTGAAGAGAACCTTCATGGCACCAAAATAAGAGATAGAACTAAACTAGATTTCCTGTTGACAAGAAGCCACTATTTTTTTGTAGTCAAAGAGTAAACACTGAAAGCAATAAATGGATTATCTCTTTGATGGGTTTTGCTTGTATAGGTTTATTCTTCATCATTTTAAAGCTATGGTATGCTTACTTTTGGCTTTCTACAGGTATGGGGGAAAATTAAATTATTGACTGTCTCCTTTCTCCTTTATGCATTGATTTTAGTTAAAATTAGGTTTTGAAAGTTAACTTTTGTGGTGATTCCAATTTCCTTGTGTCCTACTTCTTTAATCCACATAATGGCCTGGTCCCTTAGTAAAATTTATAGGGTCCAAATCAGCAAGGTTTGGACCATGCCAATTTTGCAGAAATAATTGGGAAATTTCAAAAATATATTACTAGATCTTATTGTTAAGTGATTCCATGCTAACTCAAAAAAGAGAAATGTTTTGTATTCCACATATCTAAACTATCACTTTCAACACTGGCACAGATTATATGGCTTTTATACAAATCACCTAACCTTTCTTTGCTTTTGAGTCTTCAAGTAAATAAAAATATAATAGGCTGATAATCATCAACCTTACTCATAGAATTACTCTGTAGGCTATCCAAGAATGTCAAATTACCTTAAAACGGTTGTGCAAATAATAAATAATTGCATACTCCCCCAAAATCACTTATTTATTAATTTGCAAGTTACTACCTTTACCTTCTTAAAGAATGAAGTATGTGCAATGGCTAATTTACATAATTTTCTATTTAAATGCATGTAATTAATGGCAGCGAAATTAAAAAATAATTAATACTAGTCATTTAGAGAGTTACAGTTTCCTTAAGTTTTTTTTTTCTACATAATGCAGTTTACACATAATAATTGTTCAGTTAGCCCATTAACAACTTAATTACTTTAAATATTTTTATGCCTATATAAAATAAATTCCTTTCTTTGAAGGATTATAGGAATTTTCTTTGAAGTCAAGCCTGCTTTCACCAAAGATGGAAACATTTCCATTTCCTGAGTTCTCCGCTTCTTAACTATAGCAGAGTTTGTCATAGGCATTATGTCATAGATAGTGCTCTTACCTCTCTTCAAGTCTCAAATGGAATACAGTCTTCAGATATGCCCATCAGAGATAATATTAACACTTAACACTCACAGGTTCACATGTAGTCTCAAGTTGGGTGGCCACAAAAATAGAGCTCTTATGTGCACACCCAGGAGACTCTGGGAAGTTGAATCTCCACATATTTTTGTTGAGCACTGTTTCACACCTATAAGCACTTTCAGATAACTCATCTGAGCTCCAGTTGAAGTTGCAAGGAATGCATGTACATTGTTGAAACTTAACCACATGGGACTCACACTGCAGATCCTTTTAAATTCCCAAGCCAGTGTGATACACAGAGTTGCTTTCACATATATCTCCTTAAGCTGTCTTGCAAGTTTGTATACATATGGCACTTACTCAGTCAACCCTTTATCTTCAAACCTTGAAATCCATTGCTATGCAGGAAGTTTAGTAGTGTAACAATAGGAAAATCTGGAGTCTAGAGAAGAAATGACAGGGCCTAGATTAATTTTGATCCGTGTTTTTCAAATATGTTCTCTCCATAGAAGGGTAAGTTGGGCTGACCAATGGGAGAAGGGGTTCCAAAGACTACACTGAAATATTGATTTTGAATTTGTGTATCCTTGATCTACATCTTCTAAAGGGTTTTCTCTATCTTCTTTGGTATTTTTATTTTGTCCAAATTTATTGACTTAGTGAATAGGTTAGGTAGAGTTACAGGTGGTAGGAAATGAGGAAGGGTGTGTGTTTGGAGGGGGAAAGGGGAGAGCTGCATTAGTTTCTAATGTAGAAAAAGCTCTAATTAGTTTTACCTGAGAAGTAAAAACAAAACTCATATTTCCACCCCCAAGTGCCCATGAAATTGCATTTTTACTTTTGTAGTAAAGATGTTTGTCTTCTCTACCTTAAATCTAAAACTTATTTCCTCTTGTGCTTTATAAATTAATCTTACTTTCATCATCCAAACCACGAGAGACACATTGTGTGAGATGGAAAGAATAAACAAACCAAAAGAAAAAGACAAAAACACCTTCCTGAGACCACCCAAGGATAAGTAGGGCTGATAGGTAATAACCAAAAGGAATGTAATTATTGCGATGCATTATTAAGTAACCTCCTCAAATTGAATTAAAATTGATTTTGTTATTTCCTTAACAATATATTAAAATGGAACTGAATTTTTTTTAAATCACTCAGAATCATTAACATTCCTGTCCATTAATTTAAGAGTTTAAACACCATTTAACTAGTATGTACTGTTTTCCATTTTAGACTTTTATATTTGGAACATAATATTTGCCTGGCTGAAATGATTTAAGATCAGTGGTTTTCAAACTTTGCTTCTTGGAGGTTTCTTAGAAATGCCTGAGGGGCCAGCATGTGAGGCAGGAGGGATTTCCAGCTCCCTTGTTTCAACCGGGGCAACCTCACGTTTCTCTCTTTTGTACATCAAGAGTTCTGCTTAGGATTTCAATAAAAGCAATTCCATTGCTGAAGAGAAACAAACAAACAACAAACAAACAAAAAAACATTGAAAATTCCTAACTTGGATCAGACTCTGTTGCAGAGCTAACTCCTAGAATTTATTCCATCCCAAATATAAATTGTACATTTTTTAAACGTATTTTAGTATCAAAATTTGAAACTAAGTGGATATTTTTGAACGTTAATAAGCAAATGTGTATTATGTGAATCTTTGTATATTCACTTTTGCATGTATTCATTCAAGCTGTATTTATCTCATGCTTATTGTTGAGGATGGCTCTTACTATTAAGGCACTTTGGGGCAATTAAACATGGGAAGAAAACACAATGACAGTCCGCACGGAAAGCAGGCTAAATGGTAGCCTATTTGGGGTGGTGCTTAGAGAGTGGGGAGGCATAGAGGAGGTAATAGTTGAGAAGCTGTTTTTTAATTAAAAGTAATAACCAATTAAAATTTTGTTAGCATTCCTGTGGGATATTTTAAAATTCTAAGAGTAACAAGTGTTCACTATAACAAATTTTGAGTTGACATTGCAAGGACAGATGAGCTGGAAGGGTGCAAGAAATGGGAGTCGGCCATGGTGCTGATGGCTGTTACAGGCAGTCAGGGAGGCCTCCATGCAGGGTCCAGATATACTGGTGGCCGCTAGGGCTCACTAAAAAACCCAAAACTTAGTTTGCAGGTAGGTGTAAGAATACAATGAAGTGCATGATATTTGAATGACTAATGCAGATTTGTGTCTTAGAACCGTGGTCGGCAAACTGCGGCTCGAGAGCCACATTCAGCTCTTGGACCCTTGAGTGTGGCTCTTCCACAAAATACCATGGCCTAGACGAGTCTATTTTGAAGAAGGGCCATAAGAAGAAGTTTAAGTTGAAAATATTTGGCTCTCAAAAGAAATTTCAATCGTTGAACTGTTGATATTTGGCTCTGTTGACTGAGTTTGCCGACCACTGTCTTAGAAGATGGTCTGACAGCAACATGCCCAGTGGGTTATAAGGGAGCAAGAGTGGGCATGAGGAAACAATTCAGATCAGTTGCAAAGATCCCGTGAGCAATGATGATAGCTTCAACCAAGTAGCAATGAAGCTGGGAAAGAAGGGGACGGGTTCAAAAAGACCGAGGAGAATCGTCAAGAGTTTCCAAGCAACGGGAATATGAGGCTGAAGAAGAGGGACAGGTCAGGGTTGACTTCTACATTTGGGCTGGTGCAGTGGGTGGATGGCAGCTATCACTTCCTAGATTGGGGATAGAGGAACACAGGTTTCACACAGTGAATGAAAATGGTTATGGCTATTTCTCTGTGAGAGTATGAGTGTGTAATTAAATGTCTTCTAGACCTGGATCTGAATGTATAGGTTACAAACAAGTTCTGGAGCCCCTGTGTGCACATCTTCACCCACCACTTCCTAGTTATATAGTCTAGGACCACTAAGCTTGTTTTTGTGTTTTCATCTGTAGACTGGGGAAATTAATACCTACCTCCTAGGCTTTGTTATGAGGTAGAATGTAGCATGCAATAGCAACTCCATGAATATTCTTAGTATTGTTATTATTTGTCTTCCTCAGACCTCAGTTTCCTCATCTATCAACTCATGGCGGGGAGGGGGGAAAGGAGGGAAATACTAGATTAGATTATTTCTGGGTTTTTCTTGCTATAAAGATTTTCATTCTAATGTCTGCCCTTTGTTTACATGTATGTAAGCAAACAGTTTTACTAAAAAAAATGTTTATCATTCTAGGAACTTGCCACATCAGACTCAGATTCCCCAACAGCAGACTACAGGTGAGTGCTCGATGAATTGAGGTGCGAATAAGTTGATGTTTATGGGTGAAGTTAATAGATTAAAAAATAATAACACTATGTAATGAAATAATCGTGTCTTTCCTTAATCAGAGTTAGTACTTCAGCATAATAGCTTAGATTATTACATGGATTGGCATCAGAGTGATGAACACAGGGTAAATGCTGTAAGAGCAAAAGCATCCATGGAGGTCCTAATTAAGGAAGACTAATGGAACCCCCTTCCTTCAGCAAAGCACCCCATTATTCCCCTTGGTGTGTATGATTCTTGGCTTAGATGCATCCAGGATTTGTCTCAGTAAGTGAGCAGCTTGAAACTGACTCTTACAAAAGGAAACCATCATGACTAATCACTGAGGCTTCAGAGGGATAAAGGAGAAATGGCTGGCTTGTTCGAATGCCACTTTTTAAATCTGTGATGACATGACCCATGACAACACGATGGCGGGCAATTCTCCTGAGACTATTCTATGTCCCTAAGACTTGCTTTCTTTACCTTTATTTCTTTCAAGTGTTCATAAAACATTTCCACAGCCAATTATTTCATTCATCGCAGTACTGAGTAGGTAACTTATTCAGGATTGTCTTCTAATTAGTGGTTGAATCTCTAGTTCTAATTGCCAGACAACCAGTAATGCCTTTTTTAGTGCTTTTGGAAAAGCAAGAGAAGTTTTAAAAATGTAAGTTGGATGTGGAATTCTGAGTATAAATAGTGGTGATGTGGTTAGGGGCGCTATGAAGTATGTCTCTTGAAAACTTTAGGCCCATATAGAAATGTATTGGATGTTTTCATTCAAAAATTATCTTCTCTATTACTGCTTTCGGGAATTTAAGGAGATTTTCGTTTGACAACTTTTCAAAGATTTGAGGCAAGTATAATGCAGTTGTTCATCAGATTCTAATTATGAGATAACATTTATCAGAATTTCCCCTTACAATTTTGGTTACTTGTTTTAATTAAATGCTAACATGTTTCAACAAGATTGTTCAATATATCGATGTAAGCATTCAGGAGATTGATGAAGGAACAAACTTTGTTATAAACAGGTTATCTAAAGAGCAAAGAAATAAATGAATTTCCACTACATCTAATTACATGGCTTTTTTTTAAAGAGGAAAAATTTTAAAGAATATTTCTACAATGGAAATGCTAACACTTATTTTTCTGTCACCTCTTGGACTTTACTCTGATTCTTAATTATTCCAGACAAGGAATGAGTAGAAAGGAGATAATTTCTGGCAAAATAGAAATATTGAGTATTTTGGGGGACATAAGGAAATATGAATATATGATATTAGAAAGATTTACTTCATAGTCATATAGATTTTTAGCAAGTAGACCTGTTAGCATGCTTCGTTTTAGTAATAGGCAGTGTTTCCAAATACAAGAACAATTTGTGCCTAAGTAAATGTGGTAAGAGCCAAAGAATTTCCCAAGGGGGATTTTAGGTTGTTCAGTCTATTTTTTACAATTATTTTTCTAAAGCAGGTTTTGGGGAGCAGACATGTTGCTCAAATCAGGAAAGCTTTGATCTCCTTTTCAGTTAATATGATAGCCTATTACCTTCTTGTTTTCTTAGATTTTTTTTTTTATAATTTTGAGCATATTATTGACTAAAGTGCACTGATTTCTCATGGTTGTTTTCTTTCTTCATCTTGTTTTCAGTGAGTCTCTAAAGTGCCTCAATACTGAGGGAGAGAGAGAGAGAGAGAGAGAGAGAGAGAGAGAGAGAGAGAGAGAGAGGGAGGGAGGCAGACAGACACTACCCTAGGCATGTTAAAAAAATAATTGTGATAGATTGTTGCATTTCTGCTTCTGATACATGTGAAATCAAATAGAGTCATGTCTCCTGGAGAGAAGGGCTAAGTGGACAGGTTATATTCTTTATTCGCATTCTATTCATTTGAATGACAGAGTCTGTTACTCAGTTTCTCAGTTGGTCTGTTCTGTCTGACGTGCATAGGTCCGGTGCCGTTAACGCACTTTCATGGATTCAAGCCCTTTTCTTTTCCTCCCTCCCAATCCTAGTGCCACCGAGAGGCAGCAAGGTTTGTGCAAGAGTATCAGGAAGGAATCATTGCTTTTCTCCAGCACTCTGTGATGTGTCAGTTTTCTTGTCTTTTTTTTCTTTTCTTTCTTTCTTTTTTTTTTTAATTAAATGTGTTGGGTGACAGTGGTGAGTAACAGTATACAGTTTTCTTGATGAAGGTCATGTGAGCTCAGAGTCTGTCTCTTGGATCCCAGGTCATTTTATTTGTACCTGCCTATAGGAAATTGGTGAGGGAAGAGTATATTTTGAAGTTTGTTTTATTTAGTTAATTGTTTTCTTTTTAAACGACCATGGAAGTTGAGGAAATGAAGTAGCTGTGGTGGTGTAATCCTAGGCTTAAGTGCTAGCTAGCAAGGGTAATAGAGCAGTGACAAGCGGACAATAAACAACCCTTGCTTTTGAACCAGGCCCAGGCCATGAGGATTGATGCCCTTCCGTTTTTTGCATTTTTCTTAGCCCTTCCAACCCACCTGATATTTTCTAAAAAGTCACGATTAAAAGGTGCAGTCCTATACCCCACAGTTAACCCCGCATTCTTTTTGTTCATTGTGGGAGGAATTTTCAGGCTTGTGCCTTCTGGCAGACACAGAACATTATAGCTCTGGCCCTAGAAGGAGAGGACTAAATTAGAATTTTTCCTCTTTAAATTTTTTTTAAACCAAACACAGAGAAATGTTAAGAGGATAGGAAATCACCCCTTGCCATAATATATTTTGCTCAAAATCTGCGAGTGTCCATGCCCTGACTAACGCATGCCCATATTCACTCTTACACATTGCAGGTAAATGGTATCCCTGAAGAAAGAAAACTGACCGAAGCAATGAATTTGTAATCAGACAATATAGCCGTTATAGCTTATTTCTTCTCTCTTCCATAATGCATGAGCTTTTTCTGGCATATGGTATGCATGTTGACAGCATTAAGTATATACCAAATAATTCAATATAGCTTTCATTTTACTAATGTATTTCTTTTGTACTTAAAGCATTTTTGACAGTTTGTAAAACATCGATGACTTTATATTTGTTACAATAAAAAGTGATCTTTAAAATAAATATTATTAATGAAGCCTACCTAACGTCTGGTGAGATTTACTTCAGAAAGTAGTTGAGATCTACTTCAGAAAGTAGTCGATTGCCTCCTATTATAGTAAGAAGCTGGTGTTGCTAAGGGATAGGTTCATGTGTTCATTCTTCGTTCAATGAGATTTTATTAAGCATTTCCTAGACATGTATAAAATGTCCATGCTCTTTGTTCTAAGTGAGCAACCCATTTAAGTAATACTATTCACTTTTATCTGTGTGGCCCAGAAAGCCTGTTGTCTTATACATCACTTCTTGGAGTGTCTGATAGGGTAGGCGTGGTTTTATGGAGTGTGGCTCTGAAGGCACCCAGGTTGTGGAAGGCAGCCCAGGATGCACAATGATCAGAGGAGCAGTTGCTCCAAAAGAGAAGGGTTACCTATTGACGGTGACCTGAATGAGCTCCAAAACCCCAGGCGCCCCTGTGATAACAGTACTTTCAAGGCTTAGCAGCGTTTCCTTATACTGAGACAATCCGCTTCATGCATGTTGGGTTCACGTGGCTGTCAGGCCATCTAGCAGGGCTGCAACAAACAGACCAGGCCAGCCAGAAAGCCTTTCCTTCCTCTGCTCTGGGGGGTGGGGGAGTGGGGGGTTTCTGTGTTCCCTGTTAACTGCTCAGAGGAAGCCCAGATGCTTCCTAGATCTGATCCCAAAATCCGAAAAGACTCCATGTGAGTAATGCATGTAACTACTTGCCCTCCACTTAGGAACAATATTCCATCATGTCCTTGACATTGGAAACCCTGTCCATACTCCACTTCCTGGGATTTAATGGAGGATATAGGTTATTGGATTTCCTGAAAAGTATAATTCCTATTCTTATTTCTTTCTAAGGCAACTAGGACCCTGCTACTTGCTGCTCTTCAGGACTGATCATCCCAAGGTTGTAAATATATTGGGTTGGGTTCATGTCCTAGAAGGAAGGAAAGGTCTCTATGGGCATAGATGACTAGATACTGGCACAGCGGAAGAGAATTGGTGAACTGTTATTCCTGCCAAGTGATAGCAAACTGTTCCTGATAGTCCAAGTGAACAGGAGCAAAGTAATGCATGATCCATAAATCAGAAACTGCAGATCAGGGATCGGGAAGTTTATTCATCTGCACTGGGAAAGAAGCCACTGTAGGATTAGAACATGCGGTTGGAAATAGCATCAGTTTTTGCACTGACCCTGTTGAGGAATTAAATGGGGGTACGAAGAATCACTGGCCAGCATCTCCCAAATCTTTGATAAGTGCCTTACTCTTTGCAATTTCCTCTGAAAAGGCGATCTTACCTCTGACTTTATATTTTGACAGGTAGAATCTAAATAGTTTCTCATTAGTTGTTGCTACCCGAATGGTCCTTACGTGATGGGTCAAAAAGAATGTGAAGACCCTGCCATATGTTGAGGATTTCTATCCCAACTAACCATCCTCATATTGGGCAAATGAGTTCATGGTGAGTTTGGGGTCCCTGTGGTGAACTTAAATTAGAATATTTTTTTTCAGTTGGCTACAGTAATGTTTTGCTCTAAAAAACCAACTATGGTTCTTCCTTGCACTTACAGGAATTCAAGAAACTCAGATCTAGATTCAAAATATCCCTGAAAAGCTTGTGACTTTTCCTTCCTCCAACGTATAGTCTAGTCACCCAATAAATTATGACTTCTCTTTGGGAACATTCACATTTGTAAGCTCAGACTGAGATGATAGAAAAGAGCATTAGATAAAAACGTTAAGGCTGAATTTGAGGCTAAGAGAATACTTACAAGATAATAAAGTAGAAAACAATGGCAAGGTCAGAACCTCCAAGTACAGATATAGCAAATAGACGGGGTCTGTCTGACCTCTGGGATCAGTGGTCTAAGATTTGAGCTATTATTCCTATGTCCCTGACCATACCCAATTGAGGGGATGAATAAAAACTTTCAAGCAAGCCATTTGGAGATGAAGCTGTTTCACAAATTTGCAATTTGAAATTTCCCATGGAATACCCTACTAGCTGCTTATGTATTGCACATCCAATATGTAAATAGGAGTCAAGTCATGTTCTGAGGATAATGTGGTGAGCCAAAAAAAAAAAAAAATATTCAGGCTCTGCCATCAAGGAGTTTACATTCTAGTGAGAAAGACAGATGATAATCAAGTGGTCATACAAATAAATGTCCAATTGCAATTGGTGCTATACAACCTGATCACAATGGGACTTGACCTAGTCAGCAGGTCTGAGATTTCTTGAAAAAGTTTGTGCTGATATCAAAAGGATGATATCATAAGATAAAGTGAAGTAAGGAAGGATGTTTGAGGCAAGAAAACATATCTTGAGTTTTTTTGGGAGAAGAAATCCTAGTGAATATTGAGCACTGAGATATACCAAAGATTGCTATAGACATTGGGAATGTAGCTGTGAAAGAGAAGTGGCAAACTTAAAAGTAGATTGTATTGGGTCAAGAAATCTATTTCATTAGTGCCACTCTAGTAACTAATCTGACTGTTTTGTACCATTTTTAAAAAAAATCATCACCCAAAGATATTTTCCCATTGATTTTTAGAGAGAGGAAAAGAGAAATATCGGTGTGAGAGAAACACATCAATTGGTTGCCTCCTGCACAAGCTCTGACCAGGGGCCAGGCTGTAAAGGAGCCTGCAACCAAGGTATGTGCCCTTGACCAGGATTGAACCAGAGAACCTGTGGTCCACAGGCCAATGCTCTATCCACTGAGCTAAACCAGCTAGGGCTTTCTAACCAATTAGGAATGAAATTGATTGCTTTTATAGGTAAATTCACAAAATGCTCAATACAACATACATATTGAATTAGTTTGGTTGTTTCAAATACACACTCAATGTTGTTTATTTGGGAGGTGATCCCAGGAAGCCAGAGTGTGGAAGCAGAGTGAAGAGGTTAGGAGATTCCGAAGGAAAGCCAACAAAAAGTATGTCATTGATCTGGTTCTTATTCTAGAAAGCAGAACTCAGTCCAAATAGAGGTCCTCTAATTGTGTGGAAAGCAGCTCAGAATTTCCCTTCCAAGTAACAGGAGAATTAGACTCTCACCCAGTGACTTACCATCCTAGAGCTGAAAGTTGCTCCAGGGAGCATGAATTCCCTTGCACTTTTGGACCTTGGTTAGGAGCAGGCTGAGCAAGATCCCCAGTGCCCTGGGGAAGTTGGGAGGTGCTATGGAAACTTGAGTTGAAAAACTCAGAAAGAAAACTCAAGAAATTATCAGCTTGATCCCTTGATGGATTTTGTGTAGAATCATTGACATCCTGTATTGCTAGTACGTGTTAGTTGGCATTTCACTCTGCAATGGGATAAATACATCTTGTGATATATACGTGAGGTTACTATATAAAGAGGATCTCTTGATGAGTTTTTTTGCTCTGTCATGGAAAACTTATACCATGAGGGGATTGATTTTTCGTTTGGGAGAAAATTATTTGTGAGCTATGTGGATAGGACAAATATACCCCCGAATTCACAGTGGCTTAACACAGTAAAAGTTTACTTATAGCCCTGTGCATTTACGTCAGTCTTCTTCTATCTTGTTTGCTACACACCTGACACACATGGCATCTGAGATTCTATAGGGAGCACAGTGAGAGCTAAGGGAAAGGTCATGTCGAATGTTTGTAGGAGCTGGGCTTCAAATGGCTTCTGTCACTTGCGTCCATACATCCGTTGACTGGGAAAGTCGTGTTCACCAAACATAACTGCTACTGATGCTATGAAACGTAATCTTCCTATGCACTCAGGAAATGGTATGGTCAACATAGCCATGTGGACTGGGAAAAACGTGTGATAAGTGCTTATGGACTAACAGCTGTACAAGGTGGGCCAAAGGTAGGTTTAGAGTTGTTTGTATAGAAAATAATACAATAATTAATAAATAATAACACAAGCGTAAACTCTATGTTCTGTATGTTCACAAGTTTAACCCTCCTTTGCCCCACCCTGTATATAATGACGGAAAATATAATTATGTGAGTAAGTAGTTCTATCATCCCCAATGACCTAAAATGTGAGTTAGAGCTTTTAATTCAGTGGAAATAAAAGCAACAACAGCAAAGAAACTGCCTAAATATAATAAGGTATGGAAACTAATTCTGGAACAATATTGCATTGACTTGTTGTAGAAAAATATGTGATGACAAATTCATAATCCTTTATCTGCAGTTCCCAAATCCAAAGATCTTAATGCTTTTATAAGTTCATAACAAATCCATTTAATGGTAGAACCTGACCTAACCAAAAATGAAGATACTTATTTTGTCTTTCTTAATTCTTCTTGGTGTGATGTTTTGATATGGAAATTTTAACCTATTGTCTTTATTCCACTGAATATGTTATATAGTATAAGGAACCTAACTTACATTTATAAAATCTGAACACAGTTGAATAATGAAATATACCTGGTCCCTAGAGATTCCAGTAATGTATTGGGGACTTCAGTTACTAATTTTATAAATACTGTGTTTAATTTGTATAAAATTTTATATGATAAGCTTCTTTTTTATCACCTAATTTGGAGTTTCTGTGTGTGCCTAAAAACAAATTTAGTGGTCAAACAATGAGGTTAGACTGAGATAAACTTGTCTCACAAAATAATACATCTCTGTTTCTTTCCCTCTCCCAAAACTTATAAAAATAGCCTTATTGAAGTGTCAAGGTCATTTCATTCATTTATTCATTGAATATTATTTAGGACTTACTATGTTCTAGGCATTGA